GGTGTGTGTGACGCTTTAACATTTAAGCTGGCCGGTTCATTTGTTGTGTTGCTTGTTTTGCAAGCGACAACAGTTTCCCAAACCACCTGTGTAATCTTCCTAATGTCTGGCATTGAGGGTTTATCATGCTGTGTCCTAAGTACGACGTGTGTGCGTACACATGGATGCAGGTTCCGCAAAAACAAAGACTTAAAGAAGGTGTTTTCTTCTAAGCCTGGTGCATTCTTACCCTGGAAGTACACATGCTTTAAACGTTTAAAATAATCCTGGATTTTCACGTCTGGAATGTTTAATTAGGGAGGCTGCAACTATTGCTGAGATCTCATCAGCAGGAGAAGAGAACTCTTCTGTCAGGGCTTGACAGAGCTCAGTGTAGTCATTTCTGACGCTAGGAGGTTGAGACTGTATAAACTTGTGCACCGCTTTTGAGCTGGTCTTACACTGGTGTTCTTACATCAGCTGTCCCTCTGTTACAGGTTCGACTGGTGTTCTCGGGGTAAAGGAGCAAAGTTGCCCGCAGAGTGTTACAGCCGGGTTTCAGGGGTGCTTTTCACTGACGACAGATTCCAGGTCAGCACGAACAAGCTCACCTTCATGGACCTGGAGCTGAAACTGAAGGAGAAGGACACTATCTTCACACGTGTTGTTAATGGACAGGTTGTCATCTGAACAAACTTTTTTTTTTTGATGATTAGAACAAATTTAAGTCCCATATTTGAGAGTTTTCCCTCATAGCACCTGTATTTGATGTGGATGTATATTTTTAAGATTGTAAGCGCATAAAAAGTAACTTGCTGCTTCATTTATTGCTGATGATGTTGATTTTTATTATTGGAAGTGTCCACAGGAAGAGAACAGTTCTGCAGGTCCCTCCTTCCCTGATCAAGGTGCCCAACTATAGCAAAAACCAGAAGACAGGAAATGTTCAGTAACTGTTTGTGGTACACTACAGAGTCCAAAAGTGAGCCTATCAGTGATGTTCTGTGTATGTTGAATTTCTCTAGTGAGCGAGAGTGTAACAGAGACAAAAGATCAGTCAAAGAGAGCAGGTCCGCTACCAGATCCCTCCCCAATCAAGGTGCTTAAACACACTGAGATAAAAAGTTCAGCAGC